AGGAGTAGATAGGAGGTACACCACTCTCAAAGAACTAGGGTGGGCAATACCTAGTGGTCCGACCTTGCAAAACAAGGTAATGGGGCCATGATAGAGTGGAGCCACCATGCCTTGAAGGCTGAGCTAGCCTAGGCCATGACCAACCTGACCTGGTCCAGCCGGACCCTTTTTTCTTATTTGTTTTTTCTTCTTTTCCTTTCAGTATATTAGGCCTGGCCCGAACCAGATAGGGCCAAGGTCGGGCAAGGGCCTCTTCGTCCCTGAGTCAGGCTAAGAACAATGTTGGCCTGGCCCAAGCCTGTTCTGTCGCCTTTGTGCATTAGGCCCAGCCCAACCTGACCTTATGTTAGGCAACGTCAGGTTAGAGCCTCTTAGCCCCTATCTAGGCTGGCTTGGACCCTATAAGAAGCAGGGCCGAGTTACGGCTAACGTTGGCTTAGCCTGTTGCCAGCCCTACAAAGAGCCTTCTCGCCTGCACCCCTCTCTTCCCTCAAGGCTCCCACCCTTTTAGAAGTCCCCAGAGTATATGCGAGAAGCTCTCAACTCAACTCCATCAAGACATCTCTACCTGATCCATATCTATTGATTATTAATTTCATATTTTTCCGCTGCATTATGACTCGCCTAACGAGCCAACAATCTTGATTATGATATTTCATCAATATTTTTAGTATGGGTGGATTTTGTATAAGATGCTCACCATAAACAATCAAAGTAAGACACATCCAAAACCTTATGGAAGATGCACCTCTAATGCCAAAAACTCCTATGATGACTAAAAAATATGTTATGTCCTTAATTGTGACCCAAAAATGATGCACATCAAGGAAATCCATAAATATTTTAAAATCTTGAAAATAGATAGTTCAGATAATTTGTTGCATGATCCACTATTTTTAATACTTAATCTCATTTTTTTTTCACATCCATATATCTCAATGTCGTGATAACCAATTTGAAGGTTTTTCAACATCGAAGGAATCTGTTTCAATTGGTTTTTGAGGCGCATCTCACTTCTATACTATAGGGTCAACACCTTATATAAACTTTTTCCTTGAATATTCTATACTTTTTCCTTCGGTCGAATGAAATATCTAACTGCATGACTCAAATGAATATTCTGTACTTTTCTTTCAATCAAATGAATATTTCATGGGTGGTTGTAAAAGCGTCATTGAATATACATAAAGTTCCAAAAGAAAATTATCGGACTTCCTAAACTCACCCAAAGCCATCAAATTTGATATCTAATGGTGAGAATGCTTGTGACCTCCTTGTAATAAAGACAAATGGTCTCTTTGTAAACAATCCCATAATAAAAATAAGAGTACAATTTCTCGAAGGTGTCAACCTCATACTATAGAAGTAATGTGCACCCCAAAAACCCGGCTGAAGGATATTTTAGTGCTGGAAACCCATATGATGGGTAGAAAGACTATTTTATCTCTAATTATAAAATTTGAAGCTCCAAAAATGATGCAAATTTATACGTATTCAAAATTTTTGAAAATGAATGGTTTTGATAAGATGTTATAAGATGCACTATCTTTAATACTTGAAATCTATTTTTTCTTTTGTATCCATAATTTTTTAAAATGGATACAAGATGCACTATCTTTAATACTTGAAATCTACTTTTTCTTTCATATCCATATACATGGGGACATTCTCTTTGTAGGTGATTTTCCTAAAAAATAAGGCTGTTGAAGGAAATATAAAACAATCTTCAATCCGACTTGGAATCGGGTGTGATCCGAATCGAACAAATCGGATGATCCAAATCAACTGTACCGTTATGGATCCGAATCGGACAAATCGGTTGATCCGGATCAATTGTACCGTTACGTTTCTATATAGAAACAGGATCGGGATTTTCGCATTAAAATATTCTTCTTTCTTCTCAATAAAAATATTCGTCTTTCTCAATAAAAAGATTCGTCTATCCTTATCCAAACCGTCGCCCCTCGTTTTTCTAATTATTTAAACTGTTCAAACCTTAACAAAAGCCACCTAAAGATCATCAACATGCTCTGCACCATAACCACATTCATTCTCCCTTTGGATCAACAAGCAATTTCTTTTATAGGCCAACCTGTTCCCACATCTCTTCGATGTGGGACAACTATCAAGTCCATCTACCGCGCCAATTTGCCACGCCAATTTCTGTTAGTGTTTACTAAATGTTTGATTAGACTATAGAGATAGCGCGGATTAATTTGATGAGAATCTTTTAATAAATGAGTGCGAGACTATAGAGATTTTAAAAATGTGGGAAGAAAATAGGCCATAAATATTGGTGTTTACAACTTGTAATACAATGCAACTTGCATTGACTAATATTATTAGGATCTTAGGCATTATTTCATTATATGATTAATATTAAGATAGTAGTTAATAAGGACTAAAAAAAATAATACTAGCTCATAGGATATTAAAAAAATAAAAAATATTATTAATACTAGTTTATTGAACAGTAAAAAAAAAAAAATTAGTTGCCCACATGAGCCCTCAATTTTGAAAAAAATTCTAGAGCTACCGATTTGCTACAATAAACATTTCAATTTGCTATAGTGAACAGTACCATATAAATTAAATTCTCTATAAATAGATATTTATCTCTTATATAAGGACATCCATGAAATGAAATGGTCTATAATTCTTTTTAAGATTAATTATATTTATTTATTTTTAAAATTTATTCTTTTTTAAGATTAATTATATTTATTTATTTTTATAATGTACAAACATAAAGTTTATATAATTAATCTTTAATTACATATAATTACAATAATAAAATTCCATATAATAATTTACCAAAATTAACATAATTATATGAAATTGTTGTACTAGCTCATAGGATACTAAAAAAGCAAAAAATAACACTAATACTGGTTTATTGAACATTAAAAAGCAAACTAGTTTATGAGATATTTTAAGAGAGAAAAACAGCACTAGCTCATACCACTTTAGAATTTCAAGTTGCTTTATCAATTATCTCACATTACAAATATGCATTTCTTTATTTATTTTTTTAATTTTATTGAAATATGATTGCAAGTTTATGTTACTAAATTCTATATTTCTATAGACACTAATTATTATACATTAGATTTATTTATTTTGTAAGGTTCACACCCTTGTTTTTTTAATGGTGTTTATTATAATATTGTAATGAATAATTATACTAATTACAATGATAATCAAATCTTATATTTTATTTATACTAGAAATTATGCAATGTATTATTTTTTATTATAGTTGTAAATTCGATTTTAAAATTAGATAATATTATAAGATAAATTTCAAATTTATTCTTACCTGTATAGTAAATTGATGATAAAATGATAAAATACAAACCAATAATTATAATTTCAATGCATAATTTGTATTTAGTTAGCTTTTAATAAATGTTTGATGAGAATCTTCATACAGGGAATTCGCATATTGATGCAAAAAAATAAAAGTTATTAATGTAGTACCCTCATTTCTTATTGAATTCATAAAAACAACATTTATAATGATTTTTAATAATTTTTTGAATTTTTTTTTAAGCCGAATTCAACCGATTTGGCCGATTCCCGATCCGAAACACCTATTCACCGATCTGGATGGGTTTTTGGGATGCTCGATCAGGAACACCGATCCATTTTTTAAAGCACTGGTTCCATCTAAAAACAATGGAAGCTAACGGTCCAAATGTTTTCTTACAAGAATTATTATTTTTTGTTTTTAAAATTTATTTATTTTTTTATATTCATTATCTCAACGTTAGAGATTCATGTCCTTAAAAATTAAGTCTTCAATTCTATCTCAAAAATAGATTTATTAAGAGGCCTGCATTTTTACATTTGCAGGCTTGACCGCATAAAAACTGGGTCCTTACGTAATTGCATGGGCAGGAGTGTGGTTTGTATTGAGCCTAGGCTCTAAACAATCAAATTAGAGCCTACCTTCAAATAGTGCTGAAAAATGTAGTTTCAATACTGAAAATATTTGTGATTGCCTTAAAATATATTTTCATCTTTATTTATAAAGTTTAAAGCTTCAAAAATAGTGTAGATCGATAGAACTATAAAAACTTGAAAATCTTGAAAATTGACGGTCAAAAATGAATTACAAAATACACTATTTTTAAAAATCTATGCATCTTGATGTCAAGATGATCGATTTGAGAATATTTGGGTATTAAAACAACCTCTTCTAGTGAGTTTTGAGATAGGCTCAAAGTTGATTGCTTAGAGCCTCGGCTCTATATAACATTTAAAATAGGTTTCAATTTTAAGAGTATACTATCATTGAGAAATGAATAACTATCATAACGAAAATTCATAATGGAAAAGAACAGTACATGAAAAGTTTCCATGGGTCTGCTACTCACCTATTCAAATGAGTCCTCTCTCTAAAATCTATTTTAGATTCAAAATTGTGAGGAATGTATAATCTCAACAATGATGAGTAATAATTTGAAAAAAAACAAATTAAAAAAAGAAATGAAATTTCTTTACATAATTTCAACACAATTGATTTTGAAAATTTGTGGGGCCGTCATTTTATAGTATCCATCTTGAAGATGGTTGTTACATGCACAAGAAGTCACCATTGTAAAAGTGTCCTACATTACACCATTTCCATCTCCACTTTTTTCATTAATTTTCCAATTTCTTTCACGTTTTCCTTTTACCTCTTCTTTCGGTTTTTATAGTGGAAAAGTATACAAAAAGACCATTTACTATTTGTAAAAAGAGATCGCAATCATTATTGTCCTTTGGATTTCAAATTGAGTGATTGTAAGAGTATCATCGAAAAGACTCAAAGTTCAAAAAAAAAAAATCCTTGGACTTCGTGACTAATCCAAACCATCCAATTTGACATCTAATGAATAGAAGTGTTTCTGACCTCTTTATAATAAAGATAAATAGTCTCATTGTATACAACGAGACCTAACACATGATGTACATACACATTAAACTTTAAATAGATCGCGGGAGCATATCTCTTGTGAGTGTATTGCAAGGAAATATGGACTTCCCATTTGACACTAATTGAGAACTACTCAGTTCAGAAAATAACGAGAATCTCCAAAGCCTCAAAAGTTTTATTTTTATTCCATTATTAACAGGGAAAAGTAATGATCACGCAACTAGCAACTACTGCAGAAACCCAGGAAAAAGATCTCCATCCAATAATCTTCGATACTTCCATGCACTCACTAGGATAACTGTAGAGAGCATACAAATTAACCAATAAAATGAAATACTTTCTCGAATAACATCAGAATCAAAATAACCAACAAAATCGAACAAGTTTCAAATACCAGCATAAGACTAGAATCTGTCACATTTACACCACATGATGTAACTTTAAGGAAATGTGGCCCATCGTAACTGCTGAGACCTGGGATAATACTCATACTGAGTTCTCTGAGAACATATAACAACATCCTTGAACTCCTGTTGAGGGAGAAGAAATTTAGATTACATAACAATTTTGTTTTGCATCACAAGCAGGATTATGCTAAGCAATAGGCTTTCAACTCTAACAAAACAAACAAGAATCTACTTGATGAAAATACACAATCTGCTCACGATTGTGTAGACAAGCGGCAATAACTCCAGTTAGCAGGTCAGAATGACTCTTCCATTGATTCTTGCTCAGTTTGCTACCTGAAAGTATTTAAAATAACAAACAAAAAGTAGACAAAAAATTCTGACGACTTAAGAGGATTTTAACAAAGTCACTGGATGCTTTATATATAAATAATGCACATTCATCTATGTATTTCCACATAGATAGTAATTATTGCATAAAATATAATAGTGCATAATCAATGGATCTAAAAACTTAATATACCATAATACTAATACTTTTATCATTTATTTACTACATTATAACTTATTGTATAATGACAATATGATAAACTCGTAAATCAAAAGCATAAGTTAAAGAGAACTATAGAATGGAAAGGTGATAACACCATGGTCATGCAGTTATGCTTTAATACGACCACATGGATTGTTGTATATGGAAGCACAGGTTCATACAAAAATACGAACAATTTAGGGGTCTAAGACGATATAATTTTTTAAAAGAAATGTAATACACATCATTATGCACATATAAGTAACTAACCTCTAACATAAATTTACAGATTAATACATAACATGCTGAAGGATGTAAGGGAAATGGGGAGCAGGGTTCAAAACTTCAAATGACACAGAACGGTGCTTTTCCAAATGAATTTATGTAGGCCCAAATATCACTTCTGTGAGTTCAGGCCTGTCAATTAGGAAAGAGAGCAAAGTATGAAAACTTCAGGCTAGTCATAGCTTGACATTTTAAACCAACTTCTACCATATTAAATTTTATTATAATTAGAACCTAGGACCCAGTCAGCTCCAAATAAAGTGGACAATTCCAATAGACTCGGCTTGATTTTTAAAAATTGGACATATCGCTGATGGCAAGGGGCCATCACTTGGTGTGATGGTAAAAGGCTCAGGAAGCCAGCGCAAGAGCGCAGGTTTGAGTCCTGAGAGTGGCCACTTTGTGCATAAGCCAAAGGTTAGGACCGTTTCCAGTCCATCCCTCCCGGGACCCTGCTTAGGCAGGACCAGCACCAGGTTACGGTCGTGTGGAGAAATCACTGATGGGATTGCACCGGCACCAGTTTTATTCAGGTATGAAGAACCCAATTACAGATAAAAAAGTTAATGAAAAAACTTAATGTTTTTTCAGGAAATAAATGGTTCAAAGTTACTTCACATTCATTTCCATTTGAAGTAGATTAAAAAGATATACTCACCGGAAGCATTCTGATGTGTTCAAACGCCTTCACATGTATTAGGCCTAAAGAAGAAAATATCTCAGAGCATCTACAACTTTCTCTGGCCTGTTGAGATAATATAGCCACCAAAGCCAAGCAGTTTTCAATACAATTAAATCAAGCCAACATATATGAATAGCAAACAACCTTGTAAATCAAGACACAATTCAGCATGCTGGACATTTCTGAAGAAAATAAGTTGCAGGGTTACATTATAAAAAAAAAAAGGAAAAAGTGGCAGGGTTAAGCCTTATATACCAGTCCTCTTGTGGCATATGTCCTGCCCCTTCTAGTGCCTTTATAGAAATAATGTCTGGGTTTCCTTTTTGAAATTCCTCTGCGATTGATAGAGGTAAATACTTGTCTGCAACTCCCCATGCAAGTAGTATTGGCTTATCCCATCTACATTCCAATTTTAGAGAGATGCAGAGAACTGATAAGAAATTGTCTACCAGTGACATCTCTGAATATAAGTGGACTAAACAGAATTTACATGAGAAAGGATAAATGAATCAAATGATGCAAACAGAACCATTGCAAGGCATTAAGTTTTAGATGTAGGTAAGCTATCATAATAAAATATTGCATCATACCTAAAGGTAACCTTTTGCAAAAGAAGTCATTGTTGCTACCAAATTCCTCTGTTATTATCTGACATCCTTATGTAGTTGGTTATTTAGCTTTACTAAAAACTGAACATAAAACGAGGAAAAAGAAAGAAGAAGAAGAGAAAGAAAGAATAGTAGAACCAATGGGTTCAAACAAAGAATAGTAGAACCAATGGGTTCACGCCCATAGCTCAACTGGAAGGTACTTTCTCAGCAACACCGAGGCTGGAAAATATTCTATTGATGCCATCAAGTCAAAAGTGCAATTTCCTTGTTAAAATCATGGAACAGATTTCGCTTAACGTGACTGAGGAACTATCCAAATATACAGGACATTCAGGGTACAAAAGACAAAAGTCCCTTTCGCAAATACATTGTAGACTCTGGTTAACAAATGCACATGATGCACATAAACATCATTATATGAAAAGCAGCAAGTGGTGCTCACTTGTTATAAGGAAAGCTGAATACATCCATGACATCAATTTATTAAAAAAGATGTTTGATGCATAACATCAGTATCCTACAACAATTGATTATTCTCATACCATCCTTTTGGAAATTGAATGAATAATAAAGGTCGAGGGACCCAAACATACCGTCCCTCCGAAAATCCCATTGCTACTCGGGACAATACACCATTGAAGTCGGCTTTTCTTGCAGCTTCCAGCAAAGCTATGTTGAGAATAAAGAAAAAAGAAATTACAAGGCAATTTCATAATGAAACTCACTGCTTCATATAAGCTAAGAGTGCATTGCAGTTGCCACAGATGCAAAAGTAGAGTATATTGAACACACATTTACAGGGACAACGCACGAGTGACGATCAACATACGAAACAACTCTGACTCAGGACCAACAATAATTCTACCTTTCAATACCATGATTGATTTTTAAGAATTGTCAATGAACCTCTGTATTGACTTACACAAACATCTCACCCAAGAAATTCTTTAGCAACGATATGATAGGAAAAACGATTTCAGTAATACCCATGAAGTCAGTTGTAAATATGACCACCGACATTAGCGATATTCAAAAAAACAAAAAAAGGACAAGAAAAAGAAAAAGAAGCTTACAAATAAAGCATATGCTGGAAGCTTTCTTTTACAAGTAATTTTGTAATTTTCTATACAAAACAAATTTATTTGCCAAATTTCCAGCCAAAATTGATGATTGTAGCAATTGGAGTACCTTCTATTACAATTGCATAGGAGATAACGCCAGTGTAACATGAATTACATGTATAGTATGTATCGGTGGTCAAAAGAACTTCTATTTTTATTTCTCCTTCATTCAAGTTATTAAGACCTTTATGTCCCATTTCTTTGGGCAGTATTGTCATATTTATATTTCATTAATATAAAAAGAAGACATGAGAGGTGCTCTAGGTCGATCGGACTTTCACGCTTCTCCGTTCAACTCTCTCTCTCTCTCTCCCTTCTTTGACATAGTATCAAAGCATTGATCCTCTTGCTCTTTATCCTTTCTCCACCTTTCCTACCCTAAAATTTTTTTTTTACTGCCTGCGCCCGTTTCTACCAAAACCCTAGGATCAATTGTTTGATTAAAAAAAATTTACGGTTACTTCCTAGGTTTGTCTGATCTAAACCCTAAGGTTGTTTACATGGGTTATACAATCACGGCTAAGGAAATAAAACCTGGAAACTTCAGCCTTCCTAAACATGTGGGGATACAAATTACTTTAGTAATATTAGATGAGTCCAATTATATTGTATGGGCTCAATATGTTAAAGTATTCCCTGGTGCTAGGGAAAAATGAAATACTTGACTAAGGACAAGCCCAGTGAATATAAAACAATAAATATAAAGAGTGGATGAGAGAGAATTACAAGATCATGACTTCGTTACAGGTTAATATGAAAAACCTCAAATAAGTGCAAATGTGATATTTCTCAATATCACTAAAGAAATTTGGGACACTCGAAAAGAAACATATTGATCGGATAAAAATATCTCTCTAGTTTATGAAATGTTAGAGAAAATGTTTTAATTGCAACCGGGTAATAAGAGTGTGAGTGAATATTATAGTGCCCTTAGAGGTCAATGGGAAGAACTGAAACTGTATCAATCTATATCTAGTAATCTAGTAATGTGAAATTACATAGGATGCAACGTGAAGAATTTAGAGTTGCCAAATGTTTACCCGGTCTTCACCCTGAGTACCATCTCGTTCATGGATAGATTTTAGCAAGCAGCGAGCTACCATCCCTCAATAATGTGTATGTGCATTCAACGTGTTAATATGTCTGCGTCTCTGACTTGAGTGTTAGTGATGGATCGGCATTGAATACATTTGTGGGGAGAGGTGATGGAGGCAGAGGTCAAGGATGTGGTTGTGAGTTGTGACTTAGGAAGAGGCCTAGTAGAGACGACGAAGGCCGGGGGCACGAAACTTGAAAATGTACTCATTGTGAGCACAAATCATATGGTTGATAAATGTTGCAATAAGGTTGGCAAGTCTGCTTGGACAAATCACATTACTTACACAATTGGCAATGATGATGTTTATCTGAATGGATCCATATATCATCAACAACAATCAAATTCTGTTGTTTCATCTGTTGTGCTTTCAAGAGAAGAATACAATAAACTAGTTAAACAAGTTAAACAACCTATTTTCCACCCTTTCACTTCCACTGCCATCCTTGCTAACTCGGGTATTTCTATGCTTCTTGTATCTCCGAAAACTAACCCTTGAGTTATTGACTTAGGAGCTTCTGATCATATGAATGGTGATTACTTTGTTTTTGTAAGTTAAAATAAGTATATTCCTAGTTCCTTTGTCACTTTGGCCAATGAGTGTTTGGATACGGTAATAATTATACCTACTTCTTCCTTTTCCCTGTCCTCTATGCTACATGTTCCAAAGTTTCCTTTCAGTATGTTGTTTGAGTAAATTAAACAGATCTCTTCACTGCCCTGTAACCTGTTATCCTTCTTTTCATGCCTTTCAAGATCTAAGGACAAGAAGGACAATAAGTGGTGGGTATGATTCAGGTTGCCTATACTATTTAGATCATAACCTGATTGGTGTTGCTCTTTCCTCTGCTACTTTTCCCTTATTATGGCATTGTCAATGAGGCCATCCTTCTCTAAATAGCTTGAAGTTGTTACTTCGTTCTTTAGGGTCTATGTCTAATTTTAGAGTGTTAGGCATGTCAACTAGGCACATTCCAATATCTGTGGTCCTACTAGTGTACAAAGTTTGTCTGGTCATAGATAGTTTGTAACTTTCGTGGATGATTATTCATGAATGACATGGTTGTATTTAATAACAGAGAGAACTTCCATTTTTAAATTGTTTCACAAGGAAATTTGTACCTGATTCAATAAGAATGTGTGTATTTTACATTCCGATAATGCTAAAAAGTATCTTTCTAGAGAATTTCAAAATTACTTTGCTCAGAATGCAATTTTACATCAAACTTCTTGTGCACATACTCCTCAACATAATGCAATTGTCGAAAGGAAAATCAACATCTACTAGAAGTGACCCATACACTGCTAATTAATATGCATGTTCGAAAAAGTTTATTGGGGAGATGCCTTGCTCATCTCATGTTAATTAATTAATTGTATGCACACTATAGTTTTGAATGGAAAAACATCACACTGTTATCTTTCGTAATACTTCATAGTTTGCGGTTCCTCAAGTGTTTTTGTGTGTCTACTCTGTTCATCTGTTAGGTAATGGTAATAATAAGTTGGATCCTCAAGCCATCAAGTGTGTTTTTCTGAGGTATTCACGCTTCCATAAACACTATTGTCACTATCATCCATGTTTATGAAAGAAATTTGTTTGTGTTAATATTACCATTTTTTTTAATACTCATTTTTTATGAGAGGGTCAAATGTTTGATGCAAATTCTTCTATCCCACTTTGGAAAAAGTCTCAAAGTCCTAAACTTCTATAGTTCCCTTCCCATTCATGTTGATGCCGCTTCTTCACCTTAGTTACCTCAAACCGGTGAACCTATTAATTCTACGCATCATGATGTCCTTCAAGACCAGCCCATAAAGGTTTGAACCAGAAGTTAATTAAATGATGGATACCCCCCACCTACTCAATAATCATCTTCGCCTATAGCTCCCTTCTTGCTTCTAACTCACAAGCTGTGTGTGGTGATAATGTACCCATCGGCATCTATAACGGTATAAGGTTTCGCACTCAACATTCCATTGCTCATTTTGTTATCTCCACAAATTTGTCTCTATCATGTCAAAGTTTTGATTTGGCTCTTTGTAGACACCCCCAAGGAAATTAGATTTATTTCTGAGTCTCTAGACCAGATCACACTAGCCTAGTGAACCATTGGACACACTGAGCCATAATTTCACACTCAGGCCATAGTCAAGCCCAAGATATTCCCCAAATATTTCAAATAACCTACTTCAGATGAATATCACCCAAAATAAACAGGTCATGTGTGTGAAAGAAGAGAAATTATTCAGTCATATGAACAGAGTCCACACAGACCCAAAACTATCATAAAATTGTTAATTAATCAAGTATGGAGGAAATTACACTAAGTGAAGCCAGAAATAGGCTAATAGCACAGGGTGCTTTGCTGCTATATAGACAATCTAGATTAAATCCGGACCTGTCGCCCTCTTGTTTTGGGAACTTAGGCCTACAAATAGACCACTATCAGTCGCCTTTGGGGCCTCTTCCAAAATGAAAACCTAACCCTAGCCTCTCACCGCCGCCTCGAAACCTAGCAAACCCTAGGTGCCACAAAATCCTAATATCAAAAAACTACATCGAACTCTAGAGAAGAAAACCCTTTTTTAGCCAATCAAAGCCCTAGATACAAATTCCTCGGAATTCTCTTTCTCGAAGTTAAAATTTTTTTTAATTTAACGAACCTCGACGTAAAAAGAGCACAAACTCCCCATCTTCATCTGATCCAGACTCAACTCAATGTGTCATGCCTAAAGGCCTAGCTTCCTAGGTATTTAAGGCCATCACCTTATTTTTTATGTTATTGTCTTTATTATTAATTCTCTTTTTCCAAAGATCGTTTAAATCATTCTCATGTTTCCCTACGATTTCCAAAAGGTTTCTTTAGGTTTTTACGTAGATCTCAGCTGGCCCTGCTGACCATTTGTGAAGAATAGGTCTTTCGGGGCTGATTTCTTCATTAATCATAATTTGACAAAACTCATGTCTTTACTGATTTATAAAAATAAAAATTTTGGACATAGATCGATATAGGATAGACCTCTAGTTGATTTCCATCCTAGATTCACGTGTAAACAGTTAGGTGCCCATCATGGGTCCCGACGAGCTTAGATTTGCACAAAGACCTGTCAAAAACCACCCTGAAAATTAGTTTTTAAGTGGCTGTTTTGGCCATCCAAAAACCAAAGGAAGGTGCACCAAAGCATCTAGAAGAAACCTGTGGGCTAAACGCTCCAACAGCTCACCTTGCATCACTAGGTGTCAGTATCCAACGGCAAAAAGTGTGGCGTTGAAGCAGTTAGCAGCGCAGAGTGCGCCACTAACTTCTAGTGCCCCTGGAAACTTCCCAAGGGAGCCCAATCCTCCTCCTGATGGTTTTTTTTTTTCCCTTGACCAGCTACTTTAGTCCTAGAAAATAACAAGTAAAAAAATATATATTCCACCTATTAGCTATATTATTTAGAATATT